CAAACTTTCCACTCCACATGTCTTTTATCCATATCCCTTAGAGCTATGATCTATTTGTTCTTAAAGACTTAGTTTAATCATTCTCTTGCCTAGACTGAATTTAATGACCCTCCTCACTAACTCCACAACACTCTGTGTATATTATTACTCTTTATTATATGTTTATTTACTTATTTGCTTCACTCACTAAAGATTAAGTTCCTGGAGGTCAGCTACCTTTGATTTCTATATTCTTGGTCCCTAACAGTCCATAGAACCAAGTAGTGTTTATTATATAACTGCTGAAATAGTAAATCTCTAGATTTTAGAAAGAGGGAAGATCAGAATCCACAATGTCCTCTATCGATACTTAGGTTTCTTAAACACACTGTTAAGGTCTAAGACATTACTCATACACCTCCTGAATGGAGAGAAAAATTATTTATTCACAGATGGGCACAAATATTTTTATTGTTTTTAATAACCACTAACATCATTAAGTGCTTACTACGTGTCTGGTGCATACATGTATCTTCTCATTTAATTCTCACAAAACTTTGAGGTAGACAGTAGTATTACCGCTTTTTATAGGCAAAGGCGAGGCACAGAGAAGTTAAGTATCCCGCCCAATGTCATGGAGATGGCAAAACTAGGCAGTCTGGCTCCAGAACCCATGTTCTTAACCACTATGCTACAAAACTCAATACCTCTTACATCACGAAAATTGTGCTTCAAAAGATTAAATACTCTTCTTTTTAAAACATAATAGAATGTTACTAAACACAACCCAAATTTTAAAAGTTAAGATTGTACACTGACAGATGATCCCTCCCCAAATGTAATAGCTCTCCAATCGTATTTCAACAACAAAATTTACAAATAGGTTTTACACTAGAAATTTGAAAGTGTATTTTTACTTATGGTTAATGTAATGAAGAAAGACCTCTGTCCATTACCACTATAAACAGTCGTTTCTTAAGCTATTACAGAATTTTAACTAATACTTTTAGATTTAATTTTGTGGTAATGGGTATACAAAAATAGATAAACTATAACATCAGTTAATTTATGGTAACCTTTCAGCATTCAGATAATTCTCAGTTTTATTGTAATGTACTGTCAACTTCTAGACATAAGGGTGGATATGACAAATTTCCTTGAAAGCATTCTTCTCTTATCTTATTTTCTACTTCTAAATAATAGGATAATTTGGCAAGATCATTTGAAAGTCTTATTTATTAAAATATCAATAATGAGTTGTTCCATTTTAGTTTAGAACACACTAATACAACTTGTTCCTAATACATTTTCTATATTTCTTGTGATTGATGCTTGTGATACCTTATTTAACAGGAAAATACTTTCTAATAGAGGAAATTAAGAGGTATTACAGAAGAGTTGTAGAAACCATGAACAAAGCAATAGAGGTAAATATCTATTATTATCATGATTTTCAAACAATGAAACTCATAAATAGTCATTGCAAAGAAATAAAATATAATGGACTGCTGAAATAAAGATCAATACCATCATCAAATTCCAAAATCTCTTTTGTACCTCCCTATGGGGTCTGCTAACCGTATTATATGCATACAGGTGCTAAAATGCTATTGACTAATAATGAAACCTTTTCACAATGCTGGCACCTGGTTCACTGGTAACAGGGTACTGGCAGAAGTGTTAAGTTTAGAAACATAAATCATCAGTACCTATCAATCTCAGCACACCAAATCTATAAGGCAGGCATGAGAATTCAGTAACAGAAGAAATCAGTCACTTCTGTTTCTAAGACTTGGGGTCCTGACAGGTGCCTCACAGTCCAGGGCAGAGCTAACAATGTTGGTTAAGAGATACTACAATATCATTTTTTAAACTTTGATTTATTTCTGGGATGTGAGTTTATGCCATGCTGCTCTTATAAGCAACCAACAATCTATCTTATTATTAGTCACTAGTCTAAAATCATTGATAGCTTAAATATATGAAAATATACCAACTCCCCTAAGTATAGCAATGTTGCATTTTCAGCTGAAACTAAATATTAATCTACGTGGTTTGTCTTCAATGCCTTTTACTTTCCATAAAGAATCAGCTGACTTAAAAGACCAGGTATCTCCCATTCAATAAAAGAATTCTGTGATTTAAAAAGAACATTCTGCTTCCTAGCTTAAGCACAGCATTCACCGAATATGATGCTTGAAGTATTGTGTGGGTAAATTATTACCAAAAAGTTGTATCAGCTGTTACTGAATAAGAATCACTACTAGGAGTATACCAAGTAGCAATTTCCTCTAAAGAAAGCCAAGTAGCAATTTAATTTCAGAATGAAAAGATCTGGGCAGAGAAGAAAAGTAGACAGTAAAACAGATCATTTAATTACTGTTATTCACAATATAGCAAAGAAAAAAATCAGCAACTACATACTTCAGAAAAAAGTGGAATGGGCCAAAGATAAAATATTGGCATGCTATAATTTTTTTTTTAACTTAGAAAATATTTGTACAAGAACAAGGGACACTTCACATTTAACCACCCATTGTCAATATGTACTGAGCTCACCTCAGCATAAACCAAATTGCAAGAAAATGGCCCAAATGAATTAGATGACTTCCTGCAACTAACAAACTGTACTCATATTTTAATAAGCAATATTTACCTCTATGTAGTTTTACAAAGTTCCTAATAATCTGATTTATATGGAAACTTCTTCCATGAAAGAATAAGATGATTTGGATATTATTATTAATGCATAATGTGGATGTCAATCACATGGTAAATCCAATTATTCTTGAATTTTAAAAAGGAGTTTCATGTTTTGTTCAAATATAGCTCATCGTTAGGAAATTTCCCTTCTTCAACTCTCCAGATTAGCAAATAAAATTAGGTAATATTTACACTGAATTTACAGTTTTTCTCATTTAAAGAAACATCCCTATGTCTCACTATGTTAATTTAAATGATTGCTCTTAAACTTCACTATACCTGAATTTAAGCAAGTAAAATAAGCTTTGAAAAGGAATCTGCCATTTTCATTAACTCATTTAAACTGAAATCTTTTCGAAATACATACTGCAAATATGCTCAAAGTGTTTCCTAGGCATTTTTGGGCTACATTCTAGTAAAGTGTTTAGTGGGTGAAAATGGAAATAACTGTATAACATTTAAATGAAATATAAGACTTACACTAAGAAATTAAAATCTATATAGTATGCAACAGTTAACAGTATGACTTTTTAAATGTTTTGACTACCACAAAAAAAATCAGTAATAGAAACATTATTTATATTTCAATCACAAACACTGCTCTTAAAACACAATCTATACCTGATTTATAACCAGATCTGAAAAACACAGATTAAGACTATGCTTAGTCTATCTCTCTAGCAAAGAGCCCAAAGAAAGAGTAATTTTACTATCTCTCATACATTCTGGCAAAACAAACAAACAAAAAAGCCAGATCAAAGTAAGACGAGGAGTCAAAATTGGCAATAAATCCATTATGAAGAAGAGACTGGCACTAAGTGATATTTCAGAACATATTGCTTTCTATATACGCAATCTTATTTGAGAATAAGTATTTACAAAGATTCTAGAAAGCTATAACCAACTTGATAACCTAGGCTTTCAATCTTTATTTTGTCTCCATAATATTCAGTTGTCAGCTACATATTTAAATATCTAACGTGATTTTATGTCCTACTTAGACTAGTCAGTGTCCACATATGGATTTACAGGTATTATAAGTGACATTATGTAGAATATTACTTATAATATTTTCCAGAATAGGAACTCTGACTTTGAATAAAAACTGGAGCATTTGGGCTTTAAAAACATTTTCTTTTCAATTTCTAAATTCTTCTTTTTAGGAAGTCATTGATGGAGACTGAGTTTAAAATCAAAAATGCTAACTTTTGTAAATTTTAACAAAAAGGGATCACTATAAACAGATTTAAGTAAATACTATTCTACACAAATATAATAATCTAGTAGCACTTGACACTGACAAACACTGAACTTTCTTTTAAACCACAGGAGCTTCTATTGTAGCAGCTGCAGCACAGAACCTTATGACGAAAAGAGGCCAAGTGAATAAGACTGTGAGAGTATGATACAGGATAAGGAAGGAAAAGTGAACTTAAGCCAGTAAGTTTTAAAAAGTCAAAAAGAAAATTATATCAGAAAATCAACTTCCAGGAAAATATTAATAGTTAACTACCACAACTACAGTAAATCTTTTCCTTTAAGAATGGAAGACAACAAAATAATTCTCACCATAACAATATACCAGTAATAGAAAAAAAATGAATTATTCACATTCTAAGAGGGTTTTCCAGGCGGGGGTGTGTGTACGTGTGTGTGTGTATGTGTGAAAGCTTACAAAATTGAAAATGTGAAATAAAATGGATTCATACTAAGATATCATGATAACAGAAAAAAATCTAAGGAAAGAATATTTTCCTCGAGGGAAGAATATTTTCCATAACCTGTTTAAAGAGCACCTATGAAACTGTGCTGTCAGCTGTCACAATGGAGGTTTTGGATTCTTTTATCAGTTGCAGCATAACAAAAGGCATTTCACAGCATAACTTTAGGGAAAATGTTATCTGGTCTAGAATCACTAGAAAGCAATTAAAAATTCTTTTAACTGTTTATAATACACAAATTTTTCTGGGTAGCAGCAGTTGCTCCTGTACGTGCCCTTTTAAGAAATATGAAACAGAAGCAAGAGAGTAGGGAAAAAATTTGAGAAGAATAAGAGTAGCAGCATTAAATAGAAAAGCAAATACTTAAATACATTAGAGTAAAGAAAGTTTAAAATAAGAAAATAGTACTGTGCAACTTTCAATTATACTGAGTAAAGTGCACTGTTTAAAAGTTCACTGATAACATTTTCCCTATGTTGAAAACATAAAATCTACTTATTGGTATTTTTGATATTAAAAAAAAAAAAAAAAAAAAAAAGACATTCACTATTGTAGCCCTGATAGCTCTCTTCCAGTATTTTTAACCATTCAGATGAATTTTGTGGGAATATTTATTCACATAATTTTGCTTAATACATTTCTTTCTAAACAAGACTGAATTTAAAAGTCTCTATAACATTTTTCAATTACAGTAATAACACATTAATAAATTATAAATTAACAAAATCTTCATATTTGCTTTAAAAAAATCATTTATCAAACACTAACCTCCAGATTACCTGGAAAATTAAAGATGCAAATTGCTATAAATCTGGCATCCCAATTAAATTCTGATTTTTAAAAGTATATAAAATATCCCTCAAATTATTCCAAGTTCCACTCAAGAAAATTTTATTTTACCCTTTTCATAAGTTATTAAGTTTATAACCTGCTAAACATTTCACCCAAATGTGGGAAAACTTCCTGGAGATGCAAAGCACAATAAAATAATTACATGAAAAAAACAAACAAAAATACCCGTTAAAACAAAAGTTATTGTAGCTGGCAGCACTTAAAATTGGTAATTCTTATTTTTTTAAAAGTTGCATAGCTGCAAGATGATTCATTGCTGATTAACTGTTGAGCAGTTTTAAGAGGAAACAATGTATTTAATAAATTGCAATTCAGTAGACAATCCTAGATTTAATTAATTAAAATGTAATTATGTAACTTGATTCTAGTCTTTGGACTGCATTCTGATAATGTTAAACCTTTAATTTAAAATATTAACATATTTTAGCTTTCCTATGTAGAAGTCTATTTTCCACTCTTGGGGAAAAAAATAGAAGAACTTGAGATCATGGTCTACATTCAGAGAATGTTTTACTTCTTGATTACATTTCTTGGTTTCACATTTAAGACTTTAATTTATAAGAAGTAAATTATGTGGTCTTAAATTATTTAAGAATAGATGAATGCAGAAACATCATGTTGGGGGAAAATGAAGAGACCCCAAACTAAAAAACACAATAAATCAAAACACAATGAGTTGCGCAGCTCTAGAGAACTTAATAAAAAGTAAATCAACTTTTAGATCAGTTAACTTTGGCGTCTGAATACAAAATGTTTATCAGTATTACCTATGTAGATAACTATTTAGGGATGTGCAGCATTTCCAAAATCCCTGTGTGTCCTTTATATGCATGTTTGGTACACTGAGTTCTGCAGCAACTGTCCTCTCTGCAGCAGGATTTTTTCCTGTATGATTGTCCATCTCTGCATTTCCAAGTCTCACAGAACTCAGATTTCTGGCTGAGTATGCCTGCATTTTTGTTTTTGTTTTTCCAGAGACAGATCCTCATATCCTCTTGGTTTTTCAAGCATCTTGAAAAGACAAGAAAACTTGTGTAAAAGTAGACACATTTAGTTTAAGCAGCAGTCCGTAAAAGTAATACAAATCAAAACACAACATCCATTTCCCAATGAACACTGCTTTAGTTACTATAAATTTTCATACTCTTATTTACTATTCTAAAAACTCATAAAATTTAGTGTTCTGCAAAAGATCAGATCAAAAACACAGGACCAATTAAAGCTTAAAATAGTCAAAAAATAGCCACTACATAATAGTTATTCCCCCTCCACAATAAAGACCACACCAGAGTACAGAAAACACACACGTACACAAAACTTGTTAATCTCTCCTCAAATAAGTAAAAACCTCAAACAGAAATAGTAAACAATTTCCTAATTAATCAAGACCTTAGATATGCACTTATCTCTATTTTGGGCTATTAAATTCCTATACTGAAGAATATCAGATATGCTGCATTTGCTGCTACATGTTGCCTTTTTTTTTTTTTTTTAGTGTTTTAACAACACTGAAATTTCTTCAAATCCATACATACACTTTTAATCTGGGACAGCAAAAGGGTTATAAGGAATTTATCATTTGACAAATAAGAGCAGTCAGAACAAAAGCAAAAATGTGAGAGTCAAGATATTCCATGTCTATACGTTCTTAAAAATGACTCTCCAACAACCATCGAGACGGACTCCATTGATTCAGATTTCTGAAGGCAGCTGCCAACAAACTCAGGTTCTACATAGAAAATAAATAAAAAGATAACACTGGTACATAAGGTAAGAAAACTGAAAAGCTGTTTAAGACCAACAGACATGCATATTGACTATGAGATGAGATACATGTGCCACATATCCCATAAGATCATTGTTACATTAAAGTAAAAATTTAGCTGATTAGATCATGAAATAAAAATTTTATACCATAAAATTCCATCACATTCAAAAAAGTTTATTGACTCTAAAAGACAAATTTTACCTAAAGGTGAAGGATTTAGACATATTACTTCGGTATGTAAAATACTAAGAAAAGAATTTCATTTTATTAGCATTGGTTTTTAATATGTCTCTTAAAATGCTTCTAATTTTAGCCATAGTTTTACTTTATTGGCCCAGACATACGGAGACACTGAAGACATTCCAAAGCATTCCTCTGTTCAAAAAACCTTTTTCACAGTGAAATAAAATCATACGTGGACACATACTCAAAATACCACTCCAACACCAAACTTCCCTTACACAGCAATCTTACCCCAACTCATACTTCAAATGTGTCAAGGTATCAGCTGAAAACCTCAAAGTAAAAGGTTCAAAAGCGGTTAGTCTTCTAGTTCTCTACAGTTTACCAAGGCTTTCCCATTTCACATGCATAACCCTCCATTCTTATGACAGAGGTCTCACTTAATGTTGCAGCTCTGATTTCAATTGCTGTAGCTGCTGTTAAATCACCTCAAATCACCTTTGTCATATTCTAATCTGCTGCTATGAAATTATCCTCATTAAGAGCAACAGAATTCCTTGAATGTGTTTATTACCTCAACACCTCACATTTAAGACCAGGAGTTTAGTAAAATCAAAGGAACTAGGGGTACACACAGGACTAGACCTCAGGATATCATCTGCTCTAGTTCCCTGCCTTCAGTCTCAGGCATTCGGAAAAGACTGTTGTCTGTTACTGTCTTGAGTCTCTGAACGTAGATGCTCTAACTCGTTCTGAAACAATTCCGGGATTGGCTATAATGTTCTACCTTGATGTAAAAGCCTAATGCTTTATGTCATTTTTGGAAGTCTTCTCATAAAAAGCTTTTCATATATATGAAGACAGCTATTTTTTCAAAGCTAAATAATGCCATTTAATTCACTTCATGGAATATGAAAAAACACAATACGCAAGTGAGGTTATCATTCAATTCACTAAACATTTTCAAATAACACAGAATTATGAATAAGCTAAATCAGTAGAGCAAAACAAATTCTGTATTTGGTTTAAAATTCTATTCAATTTTTTTTGCCTACTATATAGACACGTACTATACTACATGTTGAGGATAGAAAAGCAAAGATTAAATTGAATGAATAAATTGATGATGCAACTTTTTGAAGAAAATGTTCCTACGTAATAATAGGCAAATAGCTAAGAACACAATCTTTGGAGCCAGAATGCCTGGGTTCAAATCCCAGCTCTACCAAGGAACTAGCTATGTAACCCTGACAAGTCAAGTTTCTTAATCTCTCTATAACTTAATTTCCTCAGCTGCATAATGGAAATAATAAGAGTACTGAGCTCAAAGGGTTGTTATAACAATTAGATGAGTTATTAATAGATGTAAAATGCTTAGAACAATACCTGGCACATAATTATGCAATATAAATGTTAACTAACTATTGTGATTAGAGTTATAATATTATATTGCATTACCTAAGAACATACCTGGGAAGTTATGGATGAGAGTATGAAATTTGATTCTGTTTGCTAACTGCATGACTGCAAGGATTTTTGGTGCAACTTGCTTCTTAAAGTCATGGAACTTAATTACTCTGACTCTCAGGTTTCTCATTGGTAAAATGGGTTTTTTAAAAAATATTAAACTAAAATTAAATAAGCTAATGTGCTTTAAAGTACCAGGAATACAAAAGTTACTCAATATATGACTCCTCTCCTCAGGTATCAAGTTGTTTTTAATCTGAGTTTTCTATACAGTAGCCTAACACAATGTCCAGAACACACACACACAAACACACACACACACCTCAATGAATAAATGAATGAATAAAAATGGTGGCTGAGAATGTATAATTCAGGTAACAGTTTAAAAAGCAATTAAAACAGAAAAAGGGAGAATTACCTAAAAAACAGGAAGCTGATGCTTAATCTGAAGGGTGCTCAGGGCAAGATCTATTTACTTCAAACCATTCATCTATGCAGCTAAAAAAGAACAAAACCAGAAAAAATGAAACACTTATGTTTAATTATTTATATCATGACAGCCATAATAAAAATGCTTACTTCTTGACTTTACTATATCTTTGCAGAAAAAAAATTCAAATTTTAAATGATCATATTTGGCACATATAGGTAAAAGATAAAGATATGTTTATTACCTTTAGATTATTCTCGGCAGTTAAGGAAATAATCTTTGCAAAATTATGCTATAAAGTACTTTCAAGTTTAAACAGAACAACCATGACCTCAAGAGAATCTAAAGAACTACCATTTTACCAATATTCAAAATTAAATGACAAATCTGGACAGATATTTCTCTCTTCAAAATAGATATCATTTATGCAAATATCAACCTGTTCATGCTACCTATCAATATAATCAAAATAGTTTTTAAATTTCAATTCTTGACAACATTGCATCACATTTTTAAAAGACCATATTTATATGTATTGAATACTTATTTTAATTCTATCCCATCTTGTAATACATATACACACACAAATAAATATACCACCATCCATTTGCATTTATAAAGTATTTCATGATTTTATTAGAAGTTAAAAATTAGGGAATATATAATTATCCTCATTACAGACGTGCACTGTCCAATGCAGCAGCCATAAGGCACATGTGGCTATTTAAATTTAAATTCATTAAGATTAAATAAAAGAAAAATGCAATTCCTCAGTCACACTGGCCATATTTCAAGTGCTCAACAGCCACATGGCTAGTGGCTACTCTACCAGACAGCACAGATACAGAACATTTCCATCACTGCAGAAAGTTTTACTTCACTGTGATAAATGATAAACTCAAGGCCTTGAAAAGGTTGAGTAACTTGCCAACAGCTAGGAAGTTACCCAAGCAGGATTCAAACTGTTTAACATTCTTATTGTTGACACATCAAATTTTCATATGTCACAAAGCTAGAAGGCTTGGCTAATATGCTGAAGGATAAAATTAATATTTATCATTCTCATATCCTGACAGGATGGTTTGGTAGGTAAAAATAATGGAAAAAGGAAAAAAAGAAAAAAGAATGGAAAAAACAGAAAAAGGTAAAGTATCTCATCCACATGATATTCTTTCCAATATCTAAAACAATTTCTGTTGCCATTAAGACTTTTGTTGTCTAAATAAATAAACATGCCCAATTTGGCTTACAACAGTTTTCAGCCTGCTCTCTATCCTACTCACATGGCTCTAGAGGTCCCCCTAGTCTACCAGAATACCTCCTAAAACGAAGTACTGAGAACTGAACAAAATATGCCACATGTATTAACAATCCACAGTACATCCAAATACAACCACGTAACTTTGGCTCATCTTGAGAAGGTAATAATTTAAAACCCCAGGTCTTTCTCACATAAATTGCTATCAACCCATGTTATTTAAAATATTATATTTCCTTCTCCCAACTCCAGTAGGAAATCATTATTTTCAATTTCGTGCTTTTCATTCTTAGGTATTTTCTTACTCTGTAACTATATATGTGCATATTCCAAAACAACATATAGTATTGTTTTCATGTTTTAAATTTTACATAAATGCAACCGTAAAGTAAGTATGCTTTTTCTAACTGCTTTTTTCAAATTGTTCGAGATTTGCAATTGTTAAAAGTAAGGCTCTGTTTTTTACATTTTCATTGTGCATAGTATTCCATTATATAAACATATTGCAATTTATGTATCTGTTTTTTTACTGGACACTTTTAATGATGCTATGAACATTCTTATACGTGTCTCTGAGCACAGTGGAACTCAAAGTGTGGTCCACAGACACAGTGCTAATCCATGAGCTGTTTGTTACTAGCTCTCAATGAGACAAGGCGCTTGAGCCAGAATACACATTAATTTTGCCACTAAACACACTGTTTTTTGTTGTCTTTTTTTTTTTGCTAAGGAAGACTCGCCCTGAGCTAACATCTGCTGCCAATCTTCCTCTTTTTTTTTTGTATGTGAGCCACCACCACAGCACAGCCACTGACAGACAAGTGGTGTAGGTCCATGGCTGAGAACCAAACCTGGGCCACCAAAGCAAAACGCGTTGAACTTACCCACTAGGCCACCAGGGCTGGCCCTAAACACACTGTTTTGATTGGCTTTTTTTTGAATCATTGCAAGACCTTCTCAATGCAGACAGCATATATTGATGTACATTCTGGCACAAGCTCCTTTATCTCACCCTGGACCTGCATACTGAGTAGTAACACTGCCCTAGAGCACAAGATTAAGAACTCCTCCAGGAAATATACCTAGGAGTGGAATTACTGAGTTGTAGGATATGTACAGCACATGGCTATTTACAGAGCTATCTGCTAAGTATACCAACTTAAAATTGTATGTTTATTGGCCATTTGGGGTTCCTTTTTCCTGAATTGACGATTAAAAATTTTTCTGAATTTTCTACTTTGATATGTCTTTTTCTTATACATTTGTAGGAAGTTATTCAGGTATTTCAGCTATAACATGTTTTTGATGAACCTTGCTTTCTACAAAATTGTGCACTAAAAGTAACTGGGTTTATGGGGAAAAACAAGTTAAAGGCAGACCACTCACATAACACAACCTTTTAACCAGAACAAACATGTGTTCATTCCAAATAAATAAAATACCACTGTAAATATAGGATGTTTTTAAAAAAAGGGCGAACTTAGCTTGACATAAAGAGGATTAAGGAAGGATTGATACTGCTGGGTTATGCAGACAAAAGCCAATGCACAAAATTTGAGGAGAACTTGAAGCAAGCACTTTCAAAATAAAGCCCATGGCCTAAGTGAACTGGGTGTAAGAACATTTGGTGAAGGGGTATCCTTACCCATATTCTTCCATGGCCTGCTTCCACATATGCTCTCATCTGCTTTTATTTGATGGAGTAAAACATTAATGTGCTGAGAAATAGCATGTACAAACCAGTAAGATCATGTCGTTATATTGTCATCATCCTTCCATCTACCAATTGCAATGAGCTAGGTGCTTTACAGAAAGTCACTGAAGGCGAGCATTGTTTCAGATACCAAACCTTTGTTGTTATGTGTATTGAAAAACACTTTCAGTCTGAGGTCTAGTTTTTTACTTTTTCACAGTATCATGATGCAAAAAAGTTTTAAATTTTAAAATAGTTGAATTTGTCAACTTTCCTTTTAAATTTTTATTTGGGGGAGGGGTATCTTAGCCCCAAAAATAATTCCTTACCAAGAGGTCAAGAACATTTCTCTATATTCTTTTCAACACTTTAGATTCTGGTTTCCACAGACAGATGTTTACTGAATTTGGAACTGATTCTTATTTCAAATGTAAGATAGGGATTCAACTGTTTTTCCATATCAATAACCAATTGATCCCATTAGCATTCATTGAATAGTTCATTCTTTCTCAACTACACTGTAATACCACCTCTGGCTAATTTATTCATTTATTTAACGAACACTTACATAGCATCTATTATGTGCTGGCCCTTTCTAAAACTTAACTCATTTAAAACCTCATAACAACTCTATGAAGTTGGTAATAGTGCATCATTTTACAGATTGAGGGAGGGAAAAACTAACTTGACCAAGATCACACACTGAATTAGTGGAGGGGCTGGAACTGGAATCTTGAGAGTCTTGACTCCCAAGAGCCCATGCTCTTAACCCCCGAGCTGTGCTATCCCTCCATCTGTGCATGAGTGTTTATGGACTCTTTCTGTCCCACTGGCCAATGTCCTTTCCACACTGTTTTAATTAATAGTCTTATAATGAATTTGTATAAGACAAGCCCCCCCAGCATGGTTTTCTTCTTCATGAGTGTCTTGACTGCTCCCGGCTCTTCACTCTTTGGTCCAGATGTATTTCAGAATCAACTTGTTGAGTTACATGAAAAAACTAATTGAGATTTGATCAGGATAGTGTTAACTATACAGATTAATTTGGGGTGAAGTGACATCTTTACGACATTGAGTCTTCCTTTCCACAATACGGTACACCTCCACATTTATTTTACATCTTCTATAATATCTTTCAATAAAGTTTTAAAGTTTTGAGTATCTTTTGTAGGATTTATTCTTAACACACCTTATTGCCATCGTAGTTTCTGTTGCTGTTATTATTCTTAAAAAAAAGTTATATTTTTTTTCTTATTGAGCTATGAATGCAACTGATTTTCATATGTTGAGCTCATATCTGGTAACCCTGCTAAATTCTTATTAACTTTAATAATTTATCCAATAAATATTCTTTGCTTTTGTTTTAAAATCATTAATACATAAGTATACAATTTTACTGAAACTTTTTTCACATTTATTGAGTTAATAAGGGTCTTTCTCCTTTGTTAATGTTGTGAATTACATATATAAATTCTCTAATCTTATAGTGTCTTTGCATTCCTAATATAAATCCAATTTGGTCATGAGGCATTATCTATGTTTTAGATACCTATTGATGAATTTGGTTTGCTAATATGTTTTTGGATTTTTGCATTTATGTTCATAAATGAGAGTGTCTTCTAATTTTCTTTCTTATACTGTCCTTGTCCAATTTTGGTATCAAGTTTATGCTATTCTCATAAAATATGTGGGAGAATCTTCCATCTTTTTCTTCTTTTGGGGGAGTTTGTGACGTCAACACGGTATTCTTTGGATGTCTGGCAGAACGTTACCAAACTGTCCTTGTAGCCCTGTTTTTAGGTTTTTTTTTCAGGGTTAGTCTTAATAACTACATATAATAGTTATTAGTTGACTCAGGTTTTCTACTCCTTTTTGAATCATTTTTTATAATATTATATATTTTTTAAAACTGCCCATTTTAATTTTTTAATTGAAGAGTGTAAAATTTTTCACAGAATTTTCTGATTATTTTTCATTTCTGCCATGTCTGAAGTTATGTGTCCTTTTTCTTTCCTATACTATTTATTTTTTCCTTCCAGAGACAATCCGGCCAGAGGCTTATCTATTTCATTAGCCCTTTCAAAGAACCAACTTTTGGCTTTGTTGGTCTCCACTCTAGTGTGTAATTCTTAAATTTCATTATTTTCTTCTCTGATCTTTATTATTTTCTTCCTTCTATTTTTTTTTTTGTGTGTTTATTCTGCTATCATTTTTCTAATTTCTTAAGTAAGAAGTTGGCTTATTGCTTTTCAGTCTTTCTTTCCACTCTAACAGAAAACCAAAGATCACTCTTTAATGTCAAAAAGGTTTTCATTATTATTCAGTTCCAAGTATTTTCTAAGTTCCATTATGATTTCTTCTTTGATCCACAAGTTACTTAACAGTTTGTGAGAAGATTATTTATCTTTTATTACTGATGTCTAACAAGTGGTCAGACAAAAGCTTTCTGTATGGTACTAATTTTTTGTAGTTTGCTAAGACTTGCTTTATTGGCATAGTACATAATCAATTTCTATCATACTTCATGCACGCTTGAAAAGAAAATGTACTAATTGCTGGGTGCAGACACACACACACACACTCCCACACACCCACACCCATTAGATCAAACCTGTTAACTATATTGCTCAGTTTTTCTAGGTCTTAACTCATTTTGTGTGTGTCTGCTTGAGTCAATGAGAAGTGAGTTGAAATTTCCCATTATAACAGATTTGTCAATTTTTTCTGATTATTCTATAAATAATGAGACTATGTTCTTAGGTACACAAAAAATTGAATTTTATATACTTTTATCATCATATCATACTGATAATACTTTTTGCTATAAAGTTATTTTGTGCAATATTAATTTAGGTTAGTTTTTAGTTAATATTTGCCTGGACAGTTTTCTATCCCCTTACTTTCATATTTTTCTATATCCTTATGTTTAAGTATGTTGCTTATCAACAGCACATCCCAATCTTTCAATCTGTTTTCAACTGGTGAGTCTGTTCTATTTAGATTTATTATATTTACTGATACTGGGTTTATTTTTTCCTCTTTATTTTGTACTATTTACCATTTTCTCTATGCTTTCCCCCAATTCCACCTCCTACCTTTAAATAAAATTCCACCTTACTCCTTTTATTGGCTTGGAAGTTATAGTTTTCTATTCTTTTTTTTGTTAAATAATTTTTTTTACCTAAAATTTTTCCTGTGTTGCTCTAAAACCAAGACCACTTTATGAGAAACCAGATAGGCTTTGAAGTCAAACAGACATGGCTCTTCCGTTCACTAGCCATGCGACCTTCGAGAGATTTCCTATGGTTCCTCAGCTTATTTCCTGAATTGTAAAAGAGACTGTTACAAGGCTTACATGAGATAACCTATTTAAGAAGCTATGGACAATACCTGGGGTTATAGTAAAAGCTTAACAAATGGTAGATTTCTGGATACAAACAGATGTAGGCTTAAATCTTGGTTCTAGCAGGAAAAAAAGATTATTATTATTATTATTTTTATTTTATTGAGGTCATAATAGTTTGTAACATTGTGAAATTTCAGTTGTACATTATTATTTGTCAATATCATATATATGTGCCCCTTTACCCTTTATGTACACCTCCCCACTCCCTTCCCCTCTGGTAACCACTAATCTGTTCTCTTTGTCCATGTATTTGTTTATCTTCCACGTATGAGTGAAATCATCCAGTGTTTGTCTTTCTCTGTCCGGCTTATCTCGCTTAACATAATACCCTCAAGTTCCATCCATGTTGTTGCAAATGGGATGATTTTGAGAAAGACCACTAATTTTTAAGAAATGAGGGGAGAAAGTTTCAATGAAGAAGAAACCGTTTCAGCCCTAACTACAGTATCTGAAACTTTGAGAAAGATCTTTTACTCTGGTTTCAACTCGGTTAACTTGGTAAACATAAACTTACCCTTTGTGATATATGCATAGACAGGGCAGTCGTGCTATAGTATCCCCCTGCTGCAGCTCTTCAAGGCATATTGCACATTCCCCAGCATCTTTACTCAGTACATCCTCTGAGGAAAGAGAAAATGAATTCAGGACAATAAAACTGAGAGAAGAATTACGTGAATGCTAATTTATAAAGAGTGGTGTCTGGCATATTTGGTCAGAAATACATAAAACTCAGCACTCATATTTGAAATACTATTCATAAATTAGTGAGTAATGTTTACATTTACTTATAGACAGTCTCTCTCATTTCTATTTCATTGAAGCATTACAGTAAGCAAGAACAATACAGAATCCTTCAAATTGCAAAGGATTTTGCTATAAAACTTTATCAAAGTCAGTTATTTGTAATTTACAATTCATTTTCCTTCTCTTATTAATCAATATTAATTTCGTGCCCAAGATAGCTCAAAAAAGTTTAGAGTGTAATGTGAATGAAAAGACATGAAAATAGTATTATAATTTTTTAAATTCTAAATAACAAAATCAGATAAGTTAAAGAATCACCCGCAATGTAGGACTTTTTAAAAACATCTGCTTAACTCAAGAAAATGCAAAGGTAGATCAAAGATTTTGTGTAGATTCTCAAAGAAACTTTTGGAAACTTGAGGATTTCAAAGACTGGTTGCAACAATTCTTAATCCTTTTCCATGACAATGTTAAGCCTACTCTAGGCAGCAATTAGAGTGGCTTCCAGAGGGTCCTGCAGGGTATTTAAACACTGTTTAAAATACTCCTATGGTAAAACTCTTTATAAAGCAAAAACTTATTTTGGAAAAAAAAGTTCCCTCAACTTAACGTTTTATACTGAAAATTTAATTCCAGTTATATTTTATTAACGTTAAATTTTATTTTTTAAAAGGATATTGCCTAAAATAGAGTATGTTAGCCAGATACACTTTGTGACTCTTTTTAAATGAGAAATAACTAAAACATGCCATTACTGAAGAGTATACAGAAACTGTTGAAGAGTATACATTCTCACTAAGTTTCAAGAATGAAAAGTTTAAAGCAGGAATGTGCAATATGAATTTATTCCACAAATAAATAAATTACTGGTTTTGGGAAATAAAAATCAAATAAGCTACAGGGGAAAGACTGCACCAATCTCTACCTAAATGATGAAAGACAGAGCAAGGTAGGGATGTTTCCTAAAATTAAGTATTTGTCTGGTAGTTGTACACCTCCTATAAAAATCAACAAATTTAATTGTACACATATCTGTAACAGCTCCTTGCAGAAAAATTCATTCTATAAGAAGTAGTTCCCCCTTTAGTTACTCATTTTGAGACAGCACACTACGAGGAAGCACAGATTTATTTGGTCTGTAGAAGGGAAGGCACCAGCAGATGATTTACCCATAAGGCTGGAGGGGATAAGAGGGCAACTTTCGCAGAAAACGGAAAGGGCCTTGGCAAGAAGGGCTTATGCTTTCAGAATCTAGGGAATATAGTTGAAGTGATTTTAGCTAACTATTGGGTAGCTCACAAGCTAATATATCACAATCAGACACTTAATCAGAAAAAGATTTCTGGACAAGTAAAGCTGGGTAAATGGAAAATGCTGCTTATTAACACCCTCCTCAAGAGCCCTCTATTTTTCTTTTCTTGGCCCTGGTGGTCCCAGCCACTACCCTCACTCCACCCCAACCCCGCGCCAACCCAAAGTCTTTCCTCCTTCTCTTGATCTCCATTTTTTTCTTACTGTTCTCAATAGCCTTCCACAGACAGGGAATCAGCCTAATGTAAAGCATCTAACTAGTGATAAAGTTAATTAGTATATTGGGACTGACAAAATGGAGGCCGCCTCAATGGCCCTGCCCACATCACAAATCTAAACCTAAAACACCCTAGACTTATGGGAAACACCTCACTGTCAAGAAAACCGAACATACACCAATCACAACCCTCCACATCCACTCTAGCTAGCTGAGCTTACCCTAGATATGACCCCCGAGCTTATTAGGAAATCCCCACCCTCCTAGCCAATCATGCCTGGTTTCCGCTTTGCCTCTTCTAACAGTCTGTAAAACTCACTCTTGCTCAAATTCCTTGGGAATCGCTTGTTAGGCACTGTACTCCCCCAATCCATGGATTGTGTTCCCTTGAATAAAGGACATCAAACTTGTTACTAAATGGTTTTAGTTTTGTCATTTGACACTAGGATGACAGCAGTGAGAACAAAAAGAAAAGGATCTGAAGGAAACACTAAAAGATCTTATAATTCCAAATAATATGGTATATTCTCACCACTTAGATTTTTTCACCATAAAGATATACCACATAATAATGAATCCAAGTTCCACAACAAACTCCAAAAAATCAATGATCACTTTTTATGAAGCCTAAGAAGATATCAATGATTATAAGACACACCATTAGTGTTATACACCACCAAGTAAAAAAAATGCTTCCATTAAACTACAACACAAATCAATTTTAAGACGTCTCATTTTTCAGAGCTTTTAAAGTATGAAAAAGAAGTGTATCAGAATCGATGGAATAGGGTATCACATTTTCTACCTTTTGGAATATATTAACAATGCATCTAGATTTAAGTCTAAATAAACTATAACATCTCAATTATCATAAATTAAGAAAATGAGATAGACCAGCTTTTAAAAAATAAAAAGTATTGCCACATTTTTGCCACATAAGTCTGTGTAATGGATTCTCAACACCAAATGAAAATAAGTAGAAATCCACTAAGTACAGGCTTCAGAATGCATTGCTCACAGAAAAATAACTGTCTTACAATACTTTTATGCTGATTTATGACTACCAAGTCTCCTTTCTTTATTGCAATAGGTTTTTTAAAATTTCTGAGCTGGTAAAATTTTAACATCTTAAAAGGCTTATTAGGTTTTATCCTGTTTCTAAGAAAATTTATTTACAGTAAAACAAAGACAAATCCAATCTGCATATAATTAACAGAATGATATATATTTTAAGTATATAATGTTATGTTTTGCAGATATTACGTTAAAAAAAATCTTTTTAGTTTACTCTAGAATGTCATAAAGTCAGTCATTTTAATCATAAGCTCCCTAAGACCTAGGAATGAAAAATAATCAGGACTGTATTTTCTGTTAAGAAAGGTACACCTATACACAAGAACATGCCAAACACATGAATTTCAATGCAGAAGCAGCCCAATGTCCACTGTAAATAGATCTGAGTGAAATGATCTCTGCTCAGAAAATTAAAAGCTAATGTTAACATATTATAGCCACTGCTCAACTGCATTTTGATGAGCAACTGAGTTAAAAGACACTCCACTCTCACGGCAAAACCTCACAGTTACTGTCTCCAATAGCAAATGCTTAATTTTCAAATTTGAAAGTCTTATTTCCAATAGATCTGTCTTTGTTTGAAAGTATTTCTCATTTCTGAAAATTCACTATGCAATACGATTAATTTTTGCATAGCTGGGGTTTGCTAGAGTAGTCCTCTCTCCCCTCTATTGTGACATTGTTTTTTCATTCAAAGGGAAGTTTTGAGCTTAGTAAGGTGACACATTCAGAATTAAACAGGGCCTGGAAATACCACTAGATCCAGAACACTGAAGCATCTTCAAGGCACCTGGGAAAAGATTATTAAAAACCTTGGGGCTGGCCCAGTGGTGCAGCGGTTAAGTTTGCACACTCCGCTTCAGCGGCCCCAGGTTTCGCAGGGTCGGGTCCTGGGCGCAGACTGACACACCACTTGCCAAGCCATGCTGTGGTGGCGTCCTACATAAAGTAGAGGAAGATGGGCACAGATGTTAGCCCAGGGCCAATCTTCCTCAGCAAAAAGAGGAGGATTGGCAACAGATGTTAGCTCAGGGCTAATCTTCCTCACACACACACACACAAAATCTTTAGCCAATCAATTGAAAACATTCATGAAGATATTACCTACAAGCAAGAAGGGGTCAATGCTTTAGGACTGGAATACATTGAGGGCAGACTACTAACTAGCTAAAATTGATAACAGAGAAGCAGAGAAGGGAATACTAATATATTTAACTACCATAGTTGGCTAGTTTGGATTCCCCCCTCCACAGGCACTGATCGACAGAGAGACGTTAGAGATTGTGAACAGAAACTATACTTGTGTTGCTTTTTCAAAAGTGTTGTTGACGTCCTGCCTAAACATCTGGAACAGTAAGTTAAATCAGTGTATTGCTTATCCGTCTAATTCTCTGTCTTATTCATTCACAGTCTATGCATTAATTTATAGCTGTACTGATATAGAAAAAGAATTAAACCCAGAAGAGAGCAATGATTTTCAACCAGAGGTGGGCACCAGCATCACTTGGGCAATGCATTCTGTCTCAATACAGAAAAAAAAAAATTACATAGACCTGGGCCCCATCTCTAGCGATTCTGAAATATACACCTGCCTCAGAAACACAATTGGTATCAAGCGAACAGCATGTTGAAGTAGAAAGAGCACAAGATTTAAAGTGGAAAACTTAATATGAATTTCCATTCTCACTATTAGTTAGCTATGTAACCTCCAAAATGTTGGTCAACCTTCAGCTTCCTTTTACTCTTCTTTAATATTAGTATAATAAAGGTACTCACAATATTATAGAGATAAAATTTTAAAGAATTATGCAAAAAACTTTAAAAGTTATAAAAATATACAAATTATTAGTTCTTATTATCATTATCAGAAAGTACTTTACCGACTTCTCCAAAAACAAAGTTGGTCATTTTTCTATTTCTTTTTCTCCCCATTCTGGTGTTCTAGTTGTTTCAACTTTACACAATGTCATAAATAATCCCATGGCCACCAGAAACTTCTACAGGATACTCCTGACATAGCCATTTCTAGAGACCTATTATAACAGCCAGGCTGGGAACAATTCCATGCGAACAACACTACCTAATTAGTTTTTAATGTTTTGGCTTCATTCTATATTTAAAAGCATTATAAATGTCCGCTCTGTTACATGCTTTCAGACCTATTTAAGTCTTTTATCAATCCTACGAGGTAACTAATGTTACCTCCATTTTACAGATAAGGAAACCGAGGCTCAAAGAAGTAACTTTACTAGAAGTTTCTAAACTAGTAAATCC